AGAGGTACTTTTCTTCCTTTCTCACAATATAAGAACTCGTGGGCACTCAATGAAATTGCTGATGGTCGGGTTAGAACGGATAAAAGGAAGTACTTCTTCTCCCAAAGAGTGATTAACACATGGAATTCACTGCAACAGGAAGTGGTGGCGACTACAAGCATGGACAGCTTCAAAAGGGAATTAGATAAGCATATGGAGCAGAGATCCATCAGTGGCTATTAGCCACAAGGTATAGATAGGGGCTCTGGGGCAAGTGATGCTCTGTCTTCTTGGTGCTTGGGGGACGTCAACAGTGGGAGGGCTTCTAATGTCCTGGCCCCACTGGTGGACCTCCTGATGGCACCTGGTATTTCTGGCCACTGTGTGACACAGAGTGTTGGACTGGATGGGCCTTTGGCCTGATCCAACACTGGCGTCTATGTTCTTATGTACTATTGCCACAAACAATTCTACTTGTAAAATCATGGTTATCATCAGATTCTTACCTCTTTTTATTAAATGTTCCCATAATTTTTGTGCAACTGGAGTTGTCTCCACCACAAATTCCACATTTATCAAACTGGAGCTTTGAGCCGATAATGCCATCACATCCTGTTCGCACACATTTTCCACGGACACAGACTGAATTACTATATGGACGACATTCCGTTCCATCAGTCACCTGTGTAATGAATGGAGCTTTTAAGATTTACTGTTGTATGACTGGTTCATGAACATATTTTATCATTCTTGGTAGACAACTAAGTACTTTTCCATGTGGATCACTTATCCAGTTATCAAGGTTGAAATAATACTTTTCTCATTTGCAAATGAGCAACCCAAGTACAGGGAATCTTCAAATGTACAGGTATGGTATTAGATGGAGCGTGCTGGACCAGCAGCTTTCGATACCTTCAATCATGGTGATCCTTCTGGACTGCCTTTCCTGAGTGGGACTGGGAGGCACTGTTTTGTAGGTGCTTAGGAACTATTTGGAGGGTGGCTTTCAGAAGGTAGTGCTGGGGAATTTATGCTCACCTCCTTAGCCTTTGGCCAGTGGTGTTCTGCAAGCTTCCATCTTGACCTCCATGTTTTTCAACATCTACATGAAACCACAGGGTGAGGTCATCTGGAGATCAGGGCTGGACTGTCACTAATATGTGGGTCACACTCAGCTCTATCTTCTCCTTCTGGCCAATTCCTGGGGAGCTGCAGGAATCCTGAATAGGTACCTGGAGGCGGTTTTGGAGTAGATGTTGGCTAATAAACTGAACCAAAATGGAGAGCCAGTTTGGTGTAGTGGTTAGGACCATGGACTCTAATCTGGGAGAACCTGGTTTGATTCCCCACTCCTCCACATGCAGCTTCTGGGGTGACTTTGGGTCAGTCATAAGTTCTTTCAGAGCTGTTCTCTCAAGGGCAGTTCTCAAAAGAGCTCTTATCAGCCCCACCTACCTCACAGGGTGTCTGTTGTGGGAAGTGGAAGGGAAAGGAGATTGTAAACTACTCTGAGACTCCTTCAGGTAGTGAAGGACGGAGTATAGATCTAATCTCTTCTTCTTCATAATCTTGACAAGATGGAAGTGCTACTGGTGAGGAGAAAGACTGACTCAGGACTTACTGTATCACCCATTTCGGATGGAATTGTACTCTCCTTGAAATAACAGGCCTGTAGTCTGGGGGTGCTCTTAGGCCTACTGCTGGATAAACAGCTGTAATCTGTGGCTGGGAGAGCCTTTTACTAGCTCCCGCTGGTTAGCCACTTGCAGCCCTTCCTGAGCAGCAAAGATCTGCCACTGAGGTGCATGCCCTGGTTACATCTAGATTATATTAGATTACTGTAATGTGTTCTGTGTGAGGCTGCCCTTGAAAAGTGCTTGGAAACTTCAGCTGGTGCAGAATGCTGCACTTGGGATGTTGACTGGTTTGTACGAATGGCTAACAATCTGTTTCTGGGTGCAATTCAAGATGCTGGTGTTGACCTTTAAAGCCCTACATGGCTTGAGACCACAGTTCCATCTAAGCTGTGCTAGAGGCCACTGGTGCATAACAGTTCAGAGGCCAGCTCACAAACAATGGAGGATGGGGGCACCTCCATCTTGGGCCCATAGAATTGGACCCCTTGGTCCAATCTTTTTGAAACTTGGAGGGCTTTTTGAGGAAAGGCACCAACAGCTATGCTGCAAATTTGGTGCCTATACCTCAAAATAGAGCCCACACAGAGCCCCAGATACCCCTGGATCGATTCTCCATTATAGCCTATGGGGTCCCCGTAGGCTATAATTGAGCCAGGAAAAAAGTGGTTTTTTTGCACACCCCTATTATGCTTTTCGGTATGCTTTGTAAGCTGCCTTGAGTCACAGGGAAAAATGGGATGTAAATACTTGAGTAATTAAGTAGCTTGGGCAGGTTGATAATGTTTAAGCAACTTCCTGATTGTTAGGTTAGGCAGGGTTCTGACAGTAATTGTTCCACCTCTGTTTTACTTGATTTGTAATTTGTCATATTTCACTAAAAAAAAAACCCCAAAGGAGACTGCAAGAGCCTCCCCCCCCCCCAATGCTGGTATGTTTTCTAAGGGTCAGCGCAGAGCAACAGTCCAAGGCCAGGTCTACCAATATAGTGGAAAGGGGCAGGCAGACTTGGTCTAGCCGTGTAGAGGACATTATGTGTAATGAAATTTGACTTGATTCTGTTTTCTCTTATAATATTTAAATTATTCTTAAAATATAGTTTAAAAATAGTTTAAAAGAATTCATTCTGAGATTTTTACAAGGTTATGGAAATAATCTTCTAAAAATAATTTAGGCGATAGTCATATGTAGACTTGCTCACAACTTTAATGCTACTAGCTTTTTTTGCTCATGAGGTAGAATTTTTCCTCACAACACTGTGGAGCTTATAGGGAATATTGCTTGGGACCAGCATATGTAAAGGACCATCTTAATTATGAGCTTACCCGACCACTGTGGTCATCTTCTGAGACCCCACTTCAGGTGCATCTGCCTTCTGAGATTAGATGGCTGGCAAACTGGGAGAGGGCCTCCTCAGTCATGGCACTGAAACTCTGGAGCTCTCTCCCCAAAGAAACTCACCTATCCCCTTCTGCTGCTGTTTTCCACCAGCAGGTGAAGACTTTTTTGTTTTCTTTGGTGTTTTCTCAATAATACCACCTTCCTGCCTCAACTATCATTTTTATGTATATGTATTTTATTGTATTGTATGTGTATTTTAACTTGGTTTTAATTGTTTGACTGATGTGTTTTTGTTCGGTTTTAATGGTTTTTAAGATGTGTTTCTATCATGTTTGTTTTTAATCTGTTAGCTGCCTTGGTGGTCCTGATGAAGGCAGAAAGGTGGGGTATAAATTATGTAAATAAACAAAACAAATACATTAGTAAGCATGCTTATTGTTTTACATGAAAGTGGGCTGTTGTAATTCTTCCCCATTTAATATTGTGTCATACCATACTGGTGACATTTTGCCAGAAACAGACAGGACTACATCAGTAGCAAAGACCTCATCAATCTCAGACTGCAAATTCTACTCATGATGCATTGTATAACCTTTATAGTTCCTCTAATTTAACAAGAGGGTTTGTTTTTTAATGGAGCGAGGATTTGCTCTTGGTTAAGTCTGGATGCAAATGCTGTCCTAAAAGTACAGCCTACATTTTGTATGTGGCTCTTGATGAAACACAAGAAGGATTTTTTTCCCAGGGGAACAAAATGCATAGTAGTGGTGGTCAAACAATAGCTCATGAGAAGTTCAAAAAGATAAGCAACATCTAATTAAAGGTGCAAGCCACTAGTAGGTTAGGGTACACATATCAGGATTTATTTAAAGCTATGATTTTAGCTGCCCATGCAGTTATAGCGTTTGGCTGGAAAGATGCTACAAAATGGAGTACAGACAGATGGAATGATTATATGAATGGATACAGTCAGACATATTAATGATATTAAAACAGGAAATGTTAGGTGAGGATAAGATTGTGGAAGTCAAGAAGAGATGGTTAGGGTATATAAGATGGGTAAAAGCAGGGGGGGGGGCAATACTAACATATTGGTTAAACTCCAAAAGGTGTGCTCGTAGTTAAAGTTATAAATCAAGGAATTATTGCTGGTCATTTCGAGGGAGGGGGAGGGAGAAAAGGGAATAGGGAAGAAAGCATTTATTGTATTGAAGTATGTAATATATGTTATGTTATGTATTGTTTGTGTTATATGGAAGCAGGATTAATTACTTCAATAAATAAATTAAAGAACAAACAAACATGTTTTCCCATGGAGAACTAGTACATCTTGTCTTCATCATTCCCCTTCCTAGTGACATGCTAACACCAAGAATGCTCAAATGAAGGTGGCAATGGTGGTAAAAGGTCCATTCTACTATGCCTAATGATGGTGGTGAAAAGAGGTCATTAGCCCTGTAGGCCACAGACAGTTAGGAAGAAGTAGAGTGTGACGGAATTAAAGATTTGAGAACAGCAGCAGGTAAACAAAGGAGCTGTCAAGTCATGTGACTGAGAGTGGTGGGGGCCCAAACTCTCAGTGAGTGATAGATAACTGTGAACAGCTGACAATTGAGAGCTGACAGTTGGGCAGAGACAGTTGGAAGAAAGTTAGCAGTCTGCTAACTAGAGAGCTCCAAAGAGGACATAAGCTTCTGGGCTCAGTGGAATCAGCCGGATAGCAGTTTGTGTGGAAAACTGTGACTGAATAGCACTCTGCACTGGTACCCTCTAATGTAAAGAGCAGAGTGAACAGAGTGTGCAAAGTATAAAACCTTAGTGGTCATAAACACCAGAGACACTGCTCCAAAGGAACTGATAAAGGTGGCTAAGGAAAGGCTAAGGGTCTGGAGGAGTCTGGAGAGCTGGGGTAGTCGCACCAGTAAGACTCAAGGGACCAGGCAAATAAAGCCCAAAGGTTAACCACAAAACAGTTACTGGAGAGTGGGATCATAGATGGGTGTTGTGAACTAAAGAACATCTGAGTCAAACTGAGAGTGATAAGCATACAGCCTATGTAAAGGCAAAGTGAAGTGTTTATTCTACAAAGTATCAAAATATCCTGTATATATATATCTCATTCCCATTGAGTTTTTTTGTGAAATAAACAACTGTGCTGTTTGACTTTTGCAAGCACTGGTGCCTGACTCTTTGAAAAGAATTATACTGGGCAGTTGACCTCAATACATCCTGAAGTTATATATACAAATCCCGAAGAGACTACTTTTAAGTGTGAACTGGTCAGCCATCAGAAAGCAGAACTGATCAATCACATCACAGTAAAATAAACTGAATCCAGTACAAATAAATATATATATAGGCAGTGACGCCACAGCTCGGTCTTGGTTATTTTGTGGCCATTAGACACATGAAGACAGTTTTATATTCAGTTATTAGATTTGAATAGCCTTTAGACACCTTGCGACACAGATGTATTTTAAAGCATAAAGTACTTTTATATCTGAAAAATAAGCTGTTACCTTTTGGGAGAAAACTACATAATAGCCAGTTCCTTTGGCTCGGCAGGTGAGCTTGCAAACATCTCCTGGAAGCACGCCAGCATACTTGGGAACCCATTCAACAAAGGTTTTGACACCTTTCGCATCTGACTGGTAGCCATTTCTTGCTTCACACTGCTCCTGACGAAAAGCTTTAGCTGGAAAATGATTACTCCTTAATTACTATTCACTGAAGAATATTCTCTCAACGCAATATACATGTAAATTGTGCACAGCATGTGAAGAGATTATATATCATGAGGCAGGCAATGCGAGGCTAGAGGTTATAACCAGCCAAACAACAAAAAATGCCAACCCTTCAGCCAGAGGTGATCCACACTGCAACCTCATGGTAACTCACTTGTGGACCTTGTACCACCTATCTAGGCAGCTTCACTCTGCTGCTGAAATGCTTTATAATCAAGATATTTTCCCCTCTTAATACCACCACCATATAGTTTAAATTAATTCTCATTCTCATTCTGCCTCATTCTCTCTTTCTCAACCATTCACCAACCTACCTTTTATGGACTCTGTATCTTCAGCTGTATTTATTATTTATTTACTTCATTTATACCCCACCTTTCTCCACAGTGGAGACCAAAGCATTTTACCTTATTCTCCCTCTCCTCTTTTTAATCCTCACAACAACACTGAAAATATGTGCCTGGCCCAAAATCGCACAATGAGATTCCATAGTAAGATGGAGATTCGAACCTGGGGATCCCAGACCCTACTCTGAAGCTCTAACCACTACAACACACTGACTTTCATAGGGTGGCTATTGTTGAACAGTAGCAAGCAGCTAGGCCTAGCTGAGTCATAGAAATCCAGTAGTATCAAGTCACCCAGTAGTTTGTGCCAGGCCAAGGGTGCCAGCCTCCAGGCGGAGTCTGAAAAACTCCTGGAATAACAACTGATTCCCAGAAGACATAGATCTATCCTCCTGGAGAAAATGACTGCTTTGGAAGGTGGACTCTCTGTCATTATATCATGGTGAGCTTCCTCCCCTCCTCAAACCCTCCCCAGATTCCACTTCAAAATGTTCAGGAATTTCCCAAACTGGAGCTGGCAACCCTAGTCAGGCCTGGCCCTATGAGTCCTCCCTCTAAGGCCAAAACAGCCTTGGAAAGGACCTTGCCCTCCCCCCCCCTTTTATTCACAGAAACCCAGCCTGTGGCTGCCTAGCTACGGCCACTGAGGGCTTCTGTTTCTTAAAGCCAAATTATTTTTGTTTTAGATTTCAGATTTTTCTGCAAACCTTGGGCCCTTTTCAGGTTTGTAGAAAGTTCTGTTTTGCCCATTCACAGCATCAGTCACAGATTTAAGTAACCTCCGATTTCGTAGACTTCACTATTAGTATGTAGATGATTAAAAGTAAAGGAGACTCGAGGATATTTTTTGTATTAAGGGCAAAGCTGCTCTCCCCCACAGACACTTGATGATCTGACCTTCACCACTAAAAGACTTGCAGTAGACAGCAAATATGTCTCTGTGTACAAGACAGCACGCAGAGATGAGTTGCATTGCATCTTCTGGAGTCTTTGAAACATGCACATTCTTCATATATATCCTGTTCATCATTGTGGCAGTCATTTAGCTAGTAGTATAAAAATGAACAATGTGGTTTACAAAACTAATAATAATGAAACATTCCTTACAAAAGCAGCTTTCCATTTCTGGGGCTTCGGCCCATCAGCTCAGGCGTCTATTTGCAACTGATTAGACAATCAAGTTATTAAAGGGATATAAAAGTTATTCAGAGCTACATCCTCCATATCACTTCTGCAGTAGAGTAAGAAATGGCATGTGCTGTAAGAAATAGTATAATAGTGCAGTGCCCATTGAAGAAACTGGCTTGATTAATGGAAAACATACCATTGGCAGGACAGGGCATGATGTTACATGAGCGATAGATGGCCCGCTTTCCTGTACAGTATCGTCCATTGTTTCGAGGTGCTGGGTTATTGCAGTGACGATAGGCAAACTGCACACCTCCACCACACGTCCGAGAGCATTGTCCCCATGGCCCCCAGGATCCCCAATTCCCATGGTTTGAAGCCTGAAATGGTATATAATAAAGAATAATGGTATATAAAACCAGACAAAGCTAGAAATAAATCTCAAATTCACAGGCATTTATGTCCCAGTTTTATGATTCCCATCCAGTTCTTTTCCTCTCAGTGTCTCCTTTTACCAAAACATCAATTACATAGTATGACGCATCATTAGCTAACTGTTTACTTCTGTTATGCACAGTCTGCATAACTGAGGAGGTAGAAAGTACCTGAGGTTCATCCATGTTAACCCTTTTTGCTGAGGCATATCTACATGCAGCACTTCTAATAAATGAGCAAATATAACTCTGCAAGGAAAACGTAAGTATGCAGAAGAAAGTAATAGGCACTATGGCATGCAATTTTAATTAAACATATCCAGATGTCTCAAGAAATTGACCAGTGTCACATACCACCAGGAGGTAGCAACATTCCCACCCAAGCAAAACAAAAACAGAATCCCCATATCTATAGAATGGAAAAAATGTCTTCCTGGCCCCGCTTCAAAAAGCAATTAGTCCCTTGGTGAGTTGGTATTTTTATTTTTGTCTGAATTAAATCTATGTAAATAGATGTTCTGAGGTATGCATATGGCAGTCTGGGCTGAATAACTGAAAAGTATAGTGGATCAACAAATCATGTACTTTAAATTTAGGATTTTTTTTAAAAAAACCTATAGTGAGCTTAACATTAGTTCTAACACGAATGGCTTTTTAAGAGCCCTATCCAGCTACCTGAGCTGAATTCTTTAACCCACATTCCTTTGATCTCCAAAGAAATAAAGATACAAATGTGAGTATATAACAGAAAATTCGATTCATGTTTACTAAGAAGTAAGTCCCATTTTATTCATTTGAGCTTACTCCAAGGTAAGTGTCTTTAAAAGTGCAGTCTAAGAATACTAAAAATAACAACCGAATATAAATACTTCTGTGTAACTTACTAACATTTGTTGCTAGGAATCAATGACCCTGGATATTGATTATTTACATTATTGATATATATTTTCTAAACTAGCTTTTGTGTTATCAGTTACAAGAGGAGCTCTTTCAGAGATTTTCAGTTTGTGAATGAACAATTACTAATCTAAACTGAATTTCTTAGCCACTTTGAGGGCAAGAAACAGCATGATAAATTGGAGGAGAAGTGTTAAATGGCATAGAGGAAAGCCTATGAGGCAAAACTTGTAATAAGCCTAATGTTCGTCTTCAAAGATGATAATCAGTGCTATTTAACAAAATTTATATTAGGCATGTATGTCTGAATTATCTCAATATTCTACAAATTTTAACCTGCTATTTTTTGTAGCAGGAAACATGGGGATTTGTAGACTGCTTCACATTACAAAATTTCCACACAGAAAGCACTTTAAAGTAGGAATGAGTGTATGACACATCTGTATACTGTAAAGTGTGATAATTCTTTATGTGTGTAAACCGATGCATGGATATGTATCTATGACTGTCACATATTGTGAAGAAATGCATTTTTTCCCCGGAGGCTTGAAATGAGCAAAACATTCACTCTGAATTTTAATCCCCCCCCCCCTTTGGGCAAAGAACAGGCAGGGTGGAGGAAGTCAGTCAATGACTTTCTGGTTTCCTCACAGCTACCTCTTAAAGAATGCTAATAGACAGGGGTCTTGTTGTAGAAAAAGAGCTGCCGGAGCTCATTAGCATAACTCATTAGCATAACTTATTTGCATATGCCATGCCCCCTGACATCACCGGAAGTGACAGAAGGCCACACCCCCTGACATCACCGGAAGTGTGTCAGAAGGCCCGGCTACTTACCCTCCTGCTTCATCCTCATTCCCAAACGGAATGAGGATCGAAGCAGAGGGCGGGGTAAAGAAGGGGGCGGGGCTTCACCATATGACCGCCCCGCCCCCTAGAGGTTCTCTTCCGGAGCTCCGTACCTGAGAGCTCCCCCCCGACTAGAGCCCTGCTAATAGATAGAGACAACAGGAAGGTCTAGTCTCTCCCCCCCCCATTTCCGGCAGGGAACAGAGATTTGGAGGTGTTAACTACTAGAGTGACTTTAAGAAAGAACTCCTGTTGATCTCCAGGAAAAGCTTTGACTTGGTCTAATCTGGTCAGTGGTTGGGTGCGGAATACAGAGAAAATTCCTGGGAAGCAAGGAGGAAGCTCTTTTCTGCTAAGTCTATCAGAGCAGACAGAACTCTTAACTGAGGTCCAGAGGAAGCAGCCATTACGATGTGCTGGCCTGGACAGCTGGAAGAAGCTGCAAGGTAATGGTAACTCTGTAGAGATCTATAACATTCTAAGCTAAGGCGTCTGTCCTATATTTTAACATCTGATAGGGCATGTATAGAGGAACTACATTTTATCCATTTCTTTTGAATCCCTTGCTATATCTGGTGCTGTGCTAGAAGTATGCTTGTGAACATTTTCTCTTTTGATCCTGGTAGTGCTTTTCTGAACCACATAGACCTCCACTGTCTTGGACACACTATTTTAAAAGGAGCACTGGGGACATCAGTCAGTTGGCAAGTGGCTATTCCTCCAGTGGTGCACAGAGCAGTAAAAGGCCCCCACGGTGACTAGGCGCTGGGCAGTGGGAAACACAGAGGCAAGGCCTCAAAACTTGGAAGGGAAGCTGGGAGTCCTGACCCTCCCAGTGGGCAATTCCTTTCAAAGTTCAGGTGGTGGCAGTGGTTACCCGAGAAAGAAAAGCCTCTTCAAGTATCTGAAAAACCTTGGAGGGCAGGGTTGAGCAGGGCATGCAGGCTGGAGCAGGCCTGTTCTGCCACACATATAATGAGCCACATGTAGGTCTTTCATGCAGAAATTTTGCAACATGTATAACAGCCCCATGATGTTCCTTGAATACTGAGGTACATGTTGAATTTATAGAGTGATAAGGAATACCAACGCTGCCTGCAATTAATGCTGCCTGCAACCACTGAAAACCATTGCAAATGATCATTCATCTTTAGGAAACTGCTCCAACACTTTTGCTCAAGTCGAACAACTTAAACGGGTTCATTTTACCGAATCAGAACATGAAATGCTGCATGTTATTTCAACATGGCATTCCAGTTTCTGTAAATGGCTAACAAGACTAGGGACCCATCAACCTTATACCAGGAGGGCACCAGCCCTTGTGCAAACAGAAGGCACTTCCACTTGTTTGGAGGACGGTGGTGGTAGTCCAAGATTTCTCTCTTGCACTCATTTCAATAATATTGTTCCAGAGTAGTCCTTAACCCTTAGCAATGGCTCGAAGTTTATTGCAACATGGAACATGTCCATCTTCACCACAGCTTTGGTGATGATCAAATGATTTGGCATAGCTGTGGCTCAGTCAATCAGCGAACTCATTTGTTTACTTGCTAGTGATCCCCAGATAATGTTCCCCTCAATTTTGTGGCGGGAAGGACCCCTTAATTTTAAAAGGACTTCCTAAGAGTTCTTAAAATGCCACACTCCTCAGCCAGAAAAAGACTTTTAATAGCTATGTTTAGAAAATTTTATTCACCTAAGTGAGCAGATGAGGGGTTCGCCATCAACTATAAATAGAAGTGGGAAACCTTAACCCCATGTCCTTCTGTCAAGTTAGAATTCCATTTTAAAACAGGCCCCAGCAGGACCAGGTATGATTTCACATTGTTTGATCCTTAAAGCAGCAACATACCGAATAGTATTTTTTCTTTGTTTTATCAACACATTTTCCCTGAAGGCAGATCCTTCCTTTTCCACATGGCGTCCCCTCCACAGCAGGGAGCTTTTTCGTCAAACACACCATCTGACCTTGGCGAACAACCGCACACCACAGACGAGAGCACACATCCATTCCAGGACACACTGTGTATTCAGGCCCAAATGCCAGCTTGCATTGACGAATGGCATCATATGTTTGTCCTGGAAGCTCCTCAGGCCCCAAGATCTGTTTTCGTGGTTGATCCAGTAAACAGTTACCTGAAAGGACAACCCAGTTTATAATTTGCTTCCTCTCTGTGATGCTTGCCATACTTCCAAGCTTCCAAACTAGATAACATGTTCAAGATTTTGTTTAAAGTATAGTCACCTTCTACTTAGTTCCCAGCATCTGGAAACTATAACATACCAGCAGCTCTATACACCAGCTCAAACCTACTTGAAATTATATGTAATCTCTGCTTTTGCAATATCTCTCAATTATCTTAAAAGCTGCAAGAGCATAAAACATTTGTTCTTTGTATTATTTATTAAAATTTATTTTTTTATTAAAATTACAGAACACACAGAAAACGTTTATAGATCAATAAGAAATGCCACAGAAGAAGAAAATAATAAAATCATAGTATCTGTAATAGAGTCCTGTCTGTCTAAATATATCACAACATGTTTATTCTTGAGTGTTCAGGGTGATATGCATTGTTTTCCCCTTCCCTATTTTATAGTCATAACAACCTTATAAGGTGGGTTAGGATGAGAAAGCATGACTGGCCCCAAAGTCACCTAATGCACTTCACAGCTGAGTGAGGATTGAGACTTGGGTCACCACAGTACAGCACTCTAACCAGTACACCACATTGGTTCTGACTATAAGTAGTTTGTAAATGTAAAGGTATAGGTTCCCTTGCTCGAAAGCCAGTCGAGTCCGACTCTAGGGTTGCGGTGCTCATCTCCATTTCAAAGCCAAAGAGCCAGCGCTGTCCGAAGACGTTACCGTGGTCATGTGGCCGGCATGACAAAACACCAAGGTGCACGGAACATTGTTACCTTCCCACCAAAGTGGTACCTATTTATCTACTTGCAATTTCTTGCTTTTGAACTGCTAGGTTGGCAGGAGCTGGAACTAGAGACGGGAGCTCACTCCATCATGTGGCAACTTGGGTCTCGAACTGCTGAACTACTGACCTTCCACAGCCTGCACTCAGTGTCTTAACCACTTGAGCCACCGCAGCTCCTAAGTAGTTTGTATGACTTCAGTAAACTGAGTTTTTGTACTATCCTAACTGCAATTGTTCTAATGGGCATTTTGGTTTATAAATGGCAGTATCACCATCAGAGTAGGATACAGAGTTTTCCTTTTTTGTTTCCATAGATCCAGGGAGTGGCATCTTCCATATTTATCAATGGGACCTACAGACATGCCAAAATAAACAGAGGTTGCCACTGGAACGATCTGAGGCACACCACTGTTGAAAAGGTAAACCTTCTAAAGGAAAGCCAGAAAAAGCATGAATGCAGAGCTGTAGCCAACAGAACTATTTAAGAACAAGGAAAAAAAATTAAATCAAAACAAAACAAAATCAGCACATGAAAGGAAATATTGATGGCAACCAGTCATTGGGAACACCTGAAAAGCACGGAGAGCCACAAGCACAAACAGTTCACATCTTTTACCAATGAAAAAGAACATAGTATTAGGCAGAATGTTGCTATCTGTCAAGTCAGGCACCTTCTCTCTTCTGTGCACTACCAAAGCAGCATACAGCTGTTTTGGAAATGCTATTCCAGTAGATTCTTTTAACACATAAGTAACTTGACTTTATGCAAAGGATTATAAGTAATCTGAAAGCTTTTTTTAAAAAAAATCTTGCTTGGACATCTCTGGTCCAGGAAAAAGCTTTGTTTCTCTTTGCCCAAAACAGATTACTGCAACCCATCTTTCTCTGCTACCACTGCCAACCTCCACCATGGAGGAAAGCATGCAGAATACAAATATTCCCTAACTTCAGTGCCTTAGAAAATATAATGGGAATGTAATAAAAGCAAACAATTTCCTCAGTAGAACTGACCTACTGCAATTGTTTGCTCATTTTGAAGATTTAAATGTATCCCAAACACCTTTCAGCAACATTACTTATATAATACTGGAAGTTCCTCAACTTTGGTTTCTCCCTTTATCTGTGCTCCAATGACCTTGAGCTAGCAAGCAGTATGACTTTTACCTAGGCTATACTTTGCTATGGGAGGGAATGCAGCATGGTACAGCCTGATTTTGTCAGAACTTGGCTGCTAAGCAGGGTCAGCCTTTGTTAGTACTTGGATGGGAAACCTCCAAGGATGAATAGAGGAAGGCACCAGCAAACCACCTCTGCTTCTCACTTGCCTTGAAACCCCTTGCTGGGGTTGACTGTGATTTGACAGCACGTCACACATACACACACACTTTGCTACCTTATTAAAAATAAATAGCACCTATCTTTCCTATTTTACCTGCTGCTGGTATGAAAAAGCATTCTTAGAATAAGTACCTCAGTTTTGTACTGTAGTTTGGGCTAGAAATGTATACTATGCCCAAATAACATCTAAAATACAGACAGAGCAGCAACATTCATAAAGTGATCTAATGGTACGGCCATACTAGGGTGCTGCCAATGCCAGTGTACTATAATCATGAATCTATGCACCACCATGAATATATGCAAAGTCTGCAGCACAAAATTCTCATTAGAAACAAAAGTTAATGTAGAAATATCAACACCCATTCCCACAGTGCCCTTGAAAACTGACCAGTCATGCTGATAATGCCCACACAACAAAGGACTGACACTGAGCAATAGTAGGGTTGCCAACTTCCAGGTGGAGCCTGGAGATCTGGAATTAAAATTGATCTCCGGGCAGTAAAAACAGGTTGCTTGCCTGTAACTGAGGATCTTCTTCGTGGTCATCTGTGCATCCACACCTCTGGGATATAGTGTGCCTGCACCAACCCCAATCGGTATAATGGAAAGCAAAAGGAATTTTCGCGCCCGCTCCCCGGTCACTTGCCGGGCTCCTCTGTGCATGACCAAGTGAGGGGCAAAACAATCCCGCCAGTTCCTTCTGACCGCTGCCCTCAGTCTCCAAAGAAAGCAAGGAAGGACCAAAAGCAGAGGGGAAGGAGGGCAGGTGGTGTGAATGCACAGACAACCACTCGAAGATCCTCAGTTACAGGTAAGCAACTTGTTTATCTTCTTTGTGGTCTCTGTGCATCACACCTCCGGGAGACTGACAAGCAATGCTCACCTACCTGGAGGGAGCTGAGGTCCTAAATCTGCGCCGCCCGCAACACCGCTCATCCCACAATTGAACACTGATGAAGATGAACATCAAGGGCATAATGCCTCACAAACGTGTGAGGCGTGGCCCAAGTAGCTGTGTTGCAGATATCTTCCAACGATGCACCTCGCAGGAAGGCTGTGGATGCTGCCACTGCCCAAGTAGAGTGGGCCCGTAGCGGACCTGGGAGCGTCTTCTTGGCTAGCATATAGCACAATTTAATAGTCTCCACAATCCACTTGGATAGACGTTGGGATGACAGCTTCTTCCCTTGAGTGGGCAGAGCATAAGAGACAAACAAGGCCGGAGATTTCCGAAAAGGCCTTGTTCGATTTAGGTAAAAGAGTAAAGCTCTTTTGACATCCAACGAATGAAAGCAGCATTCTTCCTCCATTGAAGGAGATGGAAAAAACACTGGAAGAACAATGTCCGCTTGCAGGTGAAACTCAGAAACAACCTTCGGCAGGAAAGAAACACCTGGAGCCAACGTGACCCCATTATGATGAAAACTCAAATAAGGTGGGTCACAGCGGAGTGCCGATAACTTGCCCATCCTCCTGGTGGAGGTAACCGTGACTAGAAAGGCTGTCTTCCACAACAAAAGCTGTAGACTACAAGTAGCCATCAGTTCAAATGGTTTGTCCATGAGCCTTGCAAGCACCATGGGTAGATCCCATGCTGGCGTGGGTCCACGTGATGGGGGAAAGAGGTGGGTTAGACCTTTAAGAAACATCTTGGTCTGGGGGTGAGAGAAGACAGTGTGACCATCAATCATCTGATGATTGGCCGAAATTGCGGCTAAATAGACCTTCAGCGAGGCACAGCTGAGTCCTATGTCAAAGCGAGAAAATAAGAACCCAAAAACTGCCATCAGGTCAGATGGTGGTGGTGGCAATCTCAACGAGATAGGGTAAGACAAGAATATTTTCCACTTCCCAGCGTAAGAAACTTGGGTAGATGGTCTGCGACAATTCAATAGGACATGATCTATTCTGTCTCTGACCGATCGAAAAGGATCCTCCAGATCGTGAGCTTGAGATGCTTCACATTGTAATGCAGAATCTGACCCTTCTCTGTAAGGTCTGCAGCTGGGGGAAGGTGAATGAAGAAGCCCTTGGATAGGTGGAGTAGAGTGGAGAACCAATGTTATTGGGGCCACCACGGTGTCACTAAGAGACAGCATGGTTTTTCCTGCATTAACTTGACTAGTACTCTGGGTATTAGAGGAATCGGAGGAAAGAGGAACACATGAAGACGTGACCATGGGACCAGAAGACCATCTCCCAGAGATAGGGGATCTATCCCCGCTCTGGAGCAGAACAGGCAACATTCCTGTTGCTGTGTGTTGCAAACACATCCACCTCTGGATGGCCCCAAAGGCAAAAGATTGGGTGAAGATAAATCCAATTGAGCTCCCACTCGTGCTCCGCTGCCCCTCCTCTGCTCAAGAAGTCTGATTGAACGTTCAGTGTTCCTGGCAGATGAGTGGCCCTTAGGAACGTGTTCCATGATTGACACTCGACCCATAGTTCTATGGCTAGGCAACATAGCCCCTGGGAGATCGTACCTCCCCTTCTGTTGATATAACACAGGGCTGTGGTGTTGTCTGTCAGAACTGTGACCACTTGCTCGGTCACTATGTGTCGGAAAGACCTGAGTGCATACAGCACTACCAGGAGTTCCAGGAAATTTATATGATTGTGTGCTACATGAGACTCCCATCGAGCCCCTACACAAAGACCCTTTAGATTTGCGCCCCATTCCCAGAGGGATGCATCTGTAGTCAGCGTGAGTGTTGACTTGAGTGGATGGAATGGGGCTCCTACTAGGAGATTCACAGGATCTGTCCACCTGTCAGGGTTCTCCCTGGTTGGCCCTGACAGACCCCCAGTCACCGTTCTGGCCTGGCAAGGGGGCCGTTCTTGCTCCTTGTGGTCCTTTTTTAT